CACCATTGCTACCGTCTTCCTCCGAACATAATACCCTCACCGTGTACAAGCTCTGTGTTCCCAAACGATGCAGTCATGATAAGAGAGCTTTGTGTTCGAAGGAAAACGGTAGCGCAAGATGAGGATCATCCACGATGATGATCAAGTCGATAAGGGTCGTCCACGAAGATACACCATTGCTACCGTCTTCCTCCGAACATAATACCCTCACCGTGCATGTGTACAAGCTCTGTGTTCCCGAACGATGCAGTCATGATAAGAGAGCTTTGTGTTCGAAGGAAAACGGTAGCGCAACACGAGGATCATCCACGATGATGATCAAGTCGATAAGGGTCGTCCACGAAGATCATCCGATTCCGATTGAATGAAATCAAGCCGAAGTTCATGGGACAGCCGTCTATTGCTCGCGGAATCGGCTGACAACAACAGATTTTTGCGGAGGTGATCTCGCTTGATCTTCCCTTTTTTTTTTTACCTCACTTGATCTCGTGCAATCACGTTTTTTTCACTTCTATTATTTTCGTCCTGTTTTCAGGTGTCTTCGTGTGATTTGAACGTGGGTGTAATCCTATCCTCACCCACGATGGGCTGAAGCACTCCCTGATTGATTGGTCAATGGACGTGGGCCGGCTACCCTATCCTAGGTGGGACTACTATTATTTTCTCACCGAGTTGGTGGTGATGGTGATGGGTGGGTGGGTAAGGGCTGCGGGGCTATTATCTGTGCTCTTGCTGTGAGTATCATTGTGTGAGGTCAACGAAAGGAGCATGAAGGTTATAGTCGCTGGCAACGTCTATTCTGGCCGCGAAGGTGGAGAAAGAAGTATTAAGGGCGTGAGCCTTCCGCTTTTTCTGTAGAATACGTGTCCATGATATGGCATCAACTGTTGCTTCGTACGTTTTCCGATGTTACCTGTGTTACCATCCAGGCCGCTTTGGTTGCCCGGGCGGCCCGGCCGGGCCAGGGCCACGGAAGGTCCATGTAAAACAAAGACAAAAAAAAAAAAAAAACAGAAAGTCAGAAAAAAGGCTCTGTTGTGCAGAAAAATAAACTGAACAGTTTTTGCCTCAAGGTCGGATATAAATTATTTGCCAAATTAGTTTGTTTGTTTTTTTAATTCATTTTTGGCCCATGTGGGCAAGTGATCCCGGGCCACTCTGGTAGCATAAATCAGGTTACCTCATTCCGTCCGTTTCTTTCCCGTTCTGTTCTTATACCTCCTTCAAAATGAATCGTATATGATGTTCAGGATAAATTTTGCGTGACCTGCGAAAGGGAATCGCAAACATCATAGTAAATTCTGGATTCGTTTTCCTTCCCTGTTCTTTTTTTTTTTGGGGGGGGGGGGGGGGGGGGGG